TTTCATTACCAGCCCTTGAAAATAGAAAAAAGGTGCAGAATGGGTGTTTTGGGGGCCCCAGGGAGTCCTAAAAGTATACATAGAGATGTTCCCATATTTTCTGTGAAAAATACAGATGATGTTGTGCTGAATTTAACCAGCTCTGACATCATCAGATGGTTGCAATTTGTTGCCTTTTTGAGATGCCAAAGGGGCAACTTAGATTTATTTCTAGGCCCATGAAAATATGTGTGAAAGAGGACATATTGTGTGTAAAGTTCTTTCAACGTTGACTTCATGTTTAAATTGAACCATGATTAACGTTAGCAGCTGGGTGCTAACCTTAATCAAAATAACACAACACTGCAGACCAATTAAATCACTGTTCCTGATATTCCTTACAGTTTGACAATTTGTTTTTCCCATGTGCACTTTCAGGGTACGTCTATTAATTGTATCTACAACATACATACAATAAAAAAGGAACACACACACACACACACACACACAAACTTGGCAGGATCACGGAGCAGAAGAGGCCTTCATGTAACGACAAACCCAGTGAGGTTTTGTTGCAGCACGAAGTTCCACACAAAGCAACATAAAAGAGCAGTTACCTACATCCAACCTGCTGTTGTTTATATCATTGGCTTTACATGAGGCCTAATGGTCACACAGTTTCTCTCAGTATTACACAGACCAGACCAGTCGGCAAGACTGTGCCTTGTTTTGGGGGGGATATGCCTAAAAGCTGCGGTGTAGCTGGTGAACCATCTGGCTGGCTTTCACACTGAGATTTGAAGCACCTTCAGTGGCTTAACTTCTCACCTTGCTGCAGTGATGTACAGGTGTACTCCAGGACCCTGTGATATCACTGCTGTGTGGGGTTACAGGTGCAACAAAGCACACTTCTGACCACACCATACCACACCCATCAGTGGTGCTGGGTGTAGAGGTGAAATAGAGTTTAAACTTTCAACCAAAGAGGGCAGCAGACGCTGCTTTTCATCCTATTGTTCAGCTGCTCTTTAATTATATTTAAACATGGGTTAAATCAGGGAACAAGGGACAGGTGTACAGGGAGGAACAAGGTCAGGTGATTCAATGAATGGTCAGGTGAGGAAATGAATGGGTAAATGGATAATATGAGGCCACAGCAGACTCAGTTAGATAAATTAAAGGGGCATTTTCCACAGATATGGTCTTTTAAGTACAAAATACTGCTGTGTCCCTCCACCGCAGCTCAGCAAAGACACATTGTTTGGGGAATCGAAAAGAGATAAATCTTTACTTGTCTAAGTCAGACTGCAATTTGAAACACATTTTTGCCCAGAATGAGGGCTGTGGATTCAACACGTTCTGGTGGATTTGCCCCCTATCTCTTTAAGTGGAATTCCATTAAGAAGAGATAATTTCATGACCAGTATGGATAGGAGGAACGATTTGAGCAACCAAAACTGTTGCAATGGACATATGGAAATGTCAGTGCTGTTTTAAGATGGACTTGAAAAATTGTTGACTGAGCTTTTACAGTTAGGGATTGTACTTTATTTATCAGAGGAAGGGGGTGGCTGAGGTGTGACTTCATTTTTTTTTCCTTGACCTCCCTCGAAGCCACAAATATTTTTCATTGAGTCTCCCTTAGTGACTCGGAGAACATATATGACTCTTCACACTAAATGTAGGTATTGGAGCCAATGGAATGTGCAAACTTTTAGTCTGCAGTGATAGTGTGGCTATAACAAACTTTGATTCCATCACTGCAGCTCAGGATAACATGAGACACCTGTGTGATGAGAACTAGGAAAAAAAAAAATTTGAAAAATAATCCAAACACTGTTGGGCCTGTTATTATAAATTCTGTAACAGAAACAGTCTGGCATCACTTTAAAGTGTTTTATCTGACATATTCAGAGTAGTTTCTTCATCATCCAACTAAATAGCAAAAAATGCTCTATACTAATGTCACCTACAGCCAAGTGATACCTACACATAATTTAAGTCTCAGCCAACAGTGAATTTTTGGATAGTGTTTTCAATGTTTCTACTTATTCTGGTTCTAGGATTACAGAGTATCATATAAATCCCACACCACTGACATCTTATCTCACAGTTGCAAACACTTTCAGTACCATTTCATCACATATGGCATGAAGTAGCCTACTTCATTCATGGTTCTGATGATGTTGCTTGTAATTAACACCCCAACATGCTCATGGCTGGATAGGAAAACTCAGAGCTGACTAAACTAGTTGATAAACAGCTTTGTGATACCGGTTATCCAAGCAGCCAATATGGGTTAGGCAAGACAGATAACAAAAAGGTATCCTGGGTAAGTTGAACTGGCCTGGTTGTACAGGCCTCAGGTTGGGACAACTGGTTTTGGCGAAATTTTGAATGAGACATGTAAAACAAAAAAAGTGATTTTGGTGAGGGATCAGCCCTTGTCTGCATGAGATGTTCGAGGACCTTCAGGAATTTGAAAAACTGACATTAATTTCCAGGTTTGTTTGAGCTGTTTTGTTTTTTGCTGCTTCTGGCTATGATAAATGGGTTTTTTTCTGCTATTTAAAAAAAAAAAGAAATATGGGGTTCTGAGGGTACAACCATTTAAACTATGCCCCTACCCTAAGCCAGAATAAAAAGCAGAAGTCCCTCCCGATTGCTCAAAAAATATTTGACATGCCTCTCCAGTTTTGCACCCCCCCCCCCCCCCCCCCCCCCCCCCCC